CTTGGCTGAATATCCAGGAACTTAAATTAAATACATTTCATGTACTTATATGTTTTAATGGTTTTTATGACACACATTTAAGTAATATTCAATTCTAAAATTAGTTCTTTATTTTTTCAATTTATAGATTTTTTTTTTATGTGAAAGGATTAAACCCTCTTCTCATTATGTATACAATTGCTTGACAAATATTTCTAGTATCAAATTTGCGATTTTAGCATCTAATTATCATTTAATTTTCCTATTATTTAATATTGATCAAAGAAACTATCTTAATGATGTGAAAAATTCTCTGAATTAAATGTTATGAATAAATCTCAATCAACATAGCACCGCATATCAAATTATTTGCGCTGATTCATTTTAACCATTCCAAGAACACTGCCGAATCGTATGATATTTTTCAATGAATTTTTCAATATAACTTTTTGAATATTCAGTGATTAAATAAATATTCAAATTTTAACGACTGCAATGAGGCAATTTGCAAAAAAAAAAAACAACTTTAATTTCCTCGATCAGAATATTCTCAATGCGATAAACAACTACGTAAAATGTGCTGCGCGTTATCTATCAATTTATACATTAAAATCCCTGCAAAAATCCAGATACCGTCGAGCATCGCGAGAGATAAAAATCGCTTGTTTATATATACAAAATTGATCTCAAAATCCACCGAGGCAAGCATCTCTTTCCAGATCACTCGGTACATGCGAGACATTTCACGGAAAAAACGTACGCTTACGTGTTTCTCGCAGAACGTGACCGGGAGGGGATGTCGCGAAGGGCTTCTCTCTCACAAAACTTCCACGTCACGTGTCGCGGCTCCGGAGTACTCCCGCAGCTTCCGTCACGGGTGACTTCCGCACGAGACTGCGATCTATCAATGACGCTCGATCCGCGGCGCCATCGCCGTCGATCCTCGCCGCGGACTCCCTCCGACGACGTCGCTCCAGCGCGCGAACACTCGGCCTCGTCGTGTATCACGCGCGTGCCGCAGGACCGGCTTCGGGTGCTCGTGCTGAACACTGACGCCGATGTGGAGCTCGGACCGACCCGGAGATCAACGTCGCGGCCATCTTGCCGCCTGAAACTAGCGGAATCGATGGGCGCCGCGAGCGTCTCCTGCCGGCACGATACGACACAGCACCGCGCGACTTTCTCTCGGTCAGGATATTTTTCTCTCTTATTTTTCTCTCTCTCTCTCTCTCTCTCTCTTCTTTTCTTTTTTTTGCTTTTTTTTTTTTTTTTTTTTACTTAAACATGGTTTACGAAAATGAAAAATCCCGAGACGAAGTCCGATTGTTGTACGATCTATTCGAGAGATTTTCGAGTTCGATGAAACAATATCCCATTACTCAATTGATCTGAACTGAATGTACTCCAGAAAAATTCTTTTACAAGAAAATCCTCTCTCACGGTGATCTTGGAGGATGGTTAGTTGGATTTTACCAAGGATTTGACCATCTGACATTGTCACCCTTGACCTCGTCTCGAAAGCGCGTGCGAGCATGCGGCATGTTGTTTGACATTCCGCCAGTGGCGAGCAAGAGAACTCCGAAATCATGTGAGACATTCAACAAACAATGACATCACGCGTTTCGCACCTGTTAAACACCTTCTAATGCTCTTGAAAATAATCCGCACATGTGCTGAACACGAATATTATTCATGGAATAATTTCTAATAAACGAATGAAACTTCCGAAAATTTCGCAAACATCTAGAGAACTCGAGATTTCGATTAGATCTCATTGATTGAAAACGTAAGAAAATCATATTTTTATCTTAAAATCTTATTCTTGTATATTCTTAATAAATATACAAATAAAAAAAATAAATATTAAAATAATATTAATGGATATATTATTTTATGTATTATGTATATTATTTACGTAATAATATAAATATACGTTTTATATACCCAAATAAACCGATATGATTGACAGTTAATCGAAAATTTATAACTTTTTTTACGTTTATAAAAATAAATATATTTACATAAAGTTCATAGTCTATAACTTTTTGTTATGCTATTGTAACAAGATATGAAAAATTACTTTCAGATTGTTATATTATTTTTATGACATCGCTATACATATATCTTTATAAATAAACGTTAATTCATTTATATTTTATTTTGTTTAGTTTATTGTTATCTGACTATTTTTAAAAGACTCTGTCTATGTGTGTATAATTTCATATAAAAAAAAAACAGTTATATTTATATACACCAGCTTGGTTTAACATTCCAGAGAATCTTCCCTTGTCCTTTACTCTTAGCCGAAGGAAACCGCAGATCAAATGAATTCCTTTCCATCGAGATTGTATTGTATTGGTAACAATCTATGCTTTGCGGACCGCAATATATATATATATATATATATATATATATATATATA